TATGAGGCTGTGTGGTGACTATGAGTTTACTCAGACACCTACAGCATCAGCCTGTGAGGTCATCCCGGGCATGGGTAAAGCTTTCTTTCCTGTGCCCCTAACCTAACCCAGGGCCGGGCACACGTAAGACTTGTGATCCTGTCTGTGGAATAACTGTCTCAGTCATTGCAGGATTTTCCTTGGTAATCCCATTTAGATGTCAAACACTAATTTTGTTTGAATCAAACCGAAAGGAATGAAAGAGAAGCTTCAGAGGGAAGTAAATTCACTGAGTGGTCTCCTGTATGTAGCTGGGGGGAAAGGTGACCAGCTTCGAGGTTACTGCTATACCTGAATAAGGTGATATTAGATTACCTTAAAAAGGTTTAACAGAACCTTTGAACCTCAAATACAATATATCTCTGGGGGGAAAAAAACCTTTCTACTTGTACTACAAAGACAGTGTTGTTTTTCTAGCACAAATGCACGTCTGCTGAAATACTACTTTGCTAAACTATTGCTAAGACACGATGAGTGACCTCAGAAATGGGTGTGGGGGTGTGCTGAGTGGGAGAGGCCACTATTAATACACACAGCCTCCACACACCTGCTTTGTGAGTGGATTTCTCATTCCTCCAAAAAGCTGACTAGGACTGGGAGTAGAGATAAGGAAAAACCGTAACACTTTGGCTCTAAAAAAAAAAGTGTGTGGCTTTCTGTTACCTGATGTGTTATGTGGCCTAATGACATTTAAGAAATCTGAAATGTACCAGTCAATCAAAGATTGCCAGAAAGATCAATCAGTTCTCACTAGAAAGCACAGCTAAATGTAACAGGATGTACAAAAGAAAGCCATGTTTTCAACGGACATTAAATAGCAACAAAAGCCCTGAAACAGAAAAGAGGTCTGAATCAACTATAAAACTCTACAAAGGTCCAGAAATATAATCACTCTACAGCACATGACTGCAAACTCTGGGAGCAATAAAGTCTTTTTTTCCTACAAAATAAATTATTGAAAGGGTCATGTGATTCTTAGCCAGCAGAAAGAAGCCCTTTCCCAAGGAAAGTTCATTATTAAATATATTATTTAAGACTGGATCATCTTCAGGCTATTTTTAATGCTATCATTTTGCTGCCAAAATTGGCCATTAGCATGGGATGCTCAGCCACTAGAAAAATGATGCTTTTTCACGTATTTTGTACACTGGCAAGAGAATGGTATTGCTTTCCAGTTAATCAAATGTTCTGGTGGAGGTGAACTACATACAGAAAAGAGAAACTGTCTGCTGACCAACTAATAACAAAGAAGCTAACCTCTACTGGATGTGGAGAAGTAAGTTCCTGTCTTCCTAAACCACAAAGACCAAAGGACACACACACACAAAAGTTGCACCACCATCTCCTCAACAGAAGGAAGCCAATCTCCTGTTTAAGCCATCTCATTCTTTTAGTAGTCCACATCTCACTCTCTTCTAGGACATGAAGCTGAATGCTGTCACATTTCTCGGTTTGGAGAGTGCTATTAATTTTCACTCACCAGCAACTTGCCCGTCTCTCAACCCTTTACTTCTAAGAGCCCCTTCATCTTGAAGCAGTCTCAGGGCCAGTAAACTTGTTTACAAAATTTAAACTGTGTTACAAAGGGGTGATATAATAACTAATGGAGCTCTTACAGGAGCTAAATCTCCTGCTTTTAATTGGAGTAGAAAAGAGATCTTACTTTAATGAAGTCAGTGATGCCAATACAAATTGTATAGCATGGAAAACATTCTTGAGAAGACTGAACTTATGATAATTTACCTCCTCTCTCTCTTTCATTCTAATCTGTTTCTTCCAAGGGTCAGATCACTCTGGTGGACATCTGGGAAATAGTCAATATTCTAGGTAAACTATGCACCTGTGAGGCCACTGAAAAGGGACACTGTAGGATCCATCCCAGATCGTCATTCTTCCTAAAAGATGTCCCCAGGAATCCACAATGATGGTAGCCAGCATCTCTAACTTTAATGTGCACATGAACACCTGCAGACTCTGTGAACCAGAGATTCTGACTCAGTAGCTCTGGGGTGTGCCCTGAGATTCTGCATCTCTAAGAAGCTCCCAGGTGATGCCCATGCTGCTGGTCTATAACCCACACTTCAAGTAGCAGGGTCTTAGATATTTCCTAGAACTGCTGTTATCCTACTGCTATCCCTGGATGCCACACAATGCCTTATTCAGACTTAGGAATAGAAGCACACTCCACCCTACACACAATTGCTTCTTTAGTCTTTATTTAATTTGTATGTTTCTGGGACCACCTCTCAGATGCCTGTCATTCCACAGCCCTGCTTTCTCCATGTTATGGAACATGGAATGCAAAGTTTTCCTCAGCCTCAGAAGGTTCTGATTTTGCACCAGCAGCAGCAAAGAAAAAAAAGCGACTTCAAGTCTAAAGCCCCCATTAGTATACATTCAGTAAATGAGCTGATCCCCTGAGTCCTGGAAACACTGCAAGTCATTGTCAAATGTCAAAAGAATGTGCAAGCTCTCTTCTGAAACTTTACTATCGTTATCAAGAGTACTTTACACTGTAAGAAGCAACACGTTATTAGAGATGCAGCCCTGACTGATACAAATTTGGAGGAAAATCTGTCTGTATGCCAAATGCCTAAAATAAAACTTTAGATTAATAATGCACATTTGAAATGATAAGTAAATCACTTATAACTCTCAAATATTACCACTTTTATCCCAAAGTGTCCATTTATGATTGCATTTCCTGATATAAACCTTTTTTTGGCCAAATTCCTTTGTTTTCCTGTATAGTCATCAATCTATCTGTTGTTCTGAAAACTACACATTTTACCATCAGCCATTTGTGCTTCTATATGATTTATTTTTTACAATAAGAGGTTTTGTCAAAAAAATGTTATCATGTTCTACAGTATGTCATTGTGGTTTGGCATCATAAAATGCAGCCTCTACATTTATCAACCTCAGATACCTGTTGACCACAAAGATAGGCTCCATTATGAAAACTCTATTTTGAAAGGGGGAAAACGTGAGCCTTCACTTGAAAAGAAAACTCCACCGTATGAGATGTTAACATACCACAACTCAACAACAAAGATCAAGGCTGTATCTTAATTTCTATCATAAACATATGTCTCTGTTTCCCATCTTTTTACTGAATTACTTGATAGACGGCAGTTACCACCTTGGGGTTCTTACAACAAGAAAATTTTAAAATATGTTTTTCATAAAAATATGAAAGAGTGAAACTGTTAAATCAGCTTTACTTTGGTCTTTAAATGATCCTTTTGGAGTCTGGAAGTCCCTACCTCTTTGGTAAAAGAAAATAAATTTCTTTTTATTAAGTAGGTGGTAAAAATAAAACCATCTACTTATCCAAACATTTAACAAAAATATTCTTTTCACCCTTTAGTGACTTATTCCAGAATTACTAAGGATCTGATAATATGGATCTCAAAAAGCAAACAACTTATAAAGAGTATTTAAATTTTAGAGATTTAAATGGGGGATATTTTAGTTAATTTTACTTTTAAGCATGAACAGTGGCATCAATATTTTGTCATCTTTGGTCAAGTAGAATCAACTGTTCACGTCAGTCATCTACTTTTCTTGGCTTTTTCTCTCTTTGGTCCCTTAACATTAGCACACTTTGTAAACTGTGGTAATGTGCTTCTCGAGATTGAATCCACTTGCAGTCATTTCTAGGTTTTTTGCTTCTATTAGGTCCTATAAAACAATAACATTAGTAATTTCCTATAAGACAATAACATTAGTAATTCTCCCTAGAGACTACAAAAAAAGCACTGAGGTGCATCCTTTTTCAAAGATAATTCTTCAGGTTAAAACAAAAAGTCTGAAAAACCTTCAGACAAGCATTCCTCTTTTACTTTTTCGTAAGTCAATAACTTTTGATGTAAGGTGGAGCTATCAATGACAATTCTTCAGTCTTAGGATCTGCACCCCTCCCCCAAAGAAGCACACACGGAAAAGAACTTTACGGAAACGTGATGTTAGCTCTATCCAGCACAGCACAAGAAAAAAAATCCTCTCTCAGATGTTCTTCAAAACTCCAGGCACCAATCAATTCACTTGAAGTCAGGGCAATAGAGAATCCACAGCTAAGAATCAATTCTTCTACCCTTTATATAGATACTGTAGATGCAATACTTTTCAGCAAAGGAGACCACCAAATGATGTGGATTCTAGGTGGTGAAAAGTAAAAGATACTAAAGTTCCAGTAAACTTTAAGATCATACACCAGTTACAGAAATAGAACACAAAGTACACATCCAATGCAAATTCTCCCACTGATGAGATCAAGGAAACATCCATAGCCAAATTCTTCAAGACACTCTGTCATGCCCACTGGGAATGTGGCACACACTGTAGGATGGAGCCCGCAGACTTTCAGAAAGTCAACTTACCTCTTCACAAACACACCTAAGTTTTCCAGGGAAAAAGACGCCACTGGGGTCTCCCTCTATGGGTAGATTTTACCAAGTGAGTCAGAAAAGTCATGCCCTTGGTCCTTGGGTAGAGTCTGTTCTTCTAATTGGATGGTTCTCAAATTTTAGGACCGAGAAGAAATCCCCAGGGGAGCTTGTTTAAGATGTGGCTTGCCAGGACCCAACCTGGGGTCTAGTTCATGAGGAGTCCCTGAAGTCCCCGCAAGCAACTGAGGCCAGGTAAGTGATGCTGGGCATCCTTGGACCTCCAGTTTGAGAAACTCCGAAGGGATACCATTTACCTCAAAATCCTACTGGATAGCAAATGCAGGATCTTTGGACCTCAAAGGCCGGCAAGTAAGAAAAACACTTTGGGCGGGAAGAAATGATCACAGGGTTGGCAGGGGAGAGCTTTGTATAGGGGAAGCAACAAACCTGATTTTATTTCATCGGCTCATCAGCGCGCCCTTAGCCCAGGGGCCCACCCACACTCCAACCACCGCATCTCAGACCTGAGATGTCCAGCCCAGACTAACATTCAACCAGACATGCACCTACCCAGCCTCCGTTATCCTGGATCCAGGTGTGCAGGTGCCGGTTCAGGTATTCAGTCATCCACAGGGCGATGTTGTCCACCAGGGGCGACATCTCCCGGTTGACGCTCTCCACACACATGACCCCACCGAACTCAAAGAAGGCCACAATCCTCCCCCAGTTCACCCCATCCCTGAAGAGCTCCTCCACTACCGTGGCAAAGCGTCCCCTTGCGGTGAAAGGCGTCAGGTGCAGCTGGCTGGACATCTCGGCAAAGTCGCGGCGGTAGCGACGGGAGAAGTCATCGCCGGCCTGGCGCAGGGTCAGGTGGACCACAGGTGGCACAGGGCTGAGGGCAGGTCCCGCGGCGCCGGCGGGGGCGGCCGGGGGTAGCAGCGGGGAGGTCCTGGCGGGCGCGGGGGTGCGCCCGGGCTGGGAGGAGAAGATGCCCGGCACGGGGGTGGCCCCCAGGGGCGCGGCGCCCGCGTCTCCGGCATCCCACTCGTAGCCCCTCTGCGACAGCTTATAGTGGATGTACTTCATCACTATCTCCCGGTTATCATACCCTGTTCTCCCAGCGTGCGCCATCCTTGCCCCCGAGGAAAATCAGCCGGGTACCAACAGCACCTCTCGCCCCTGCTCCCGCCCCACAGCCCCGAAAGAAAGAATAGTTATAATCCAGCTATTTTATTGGATGTGCTTTGCATTCTTGGATGAGAGGGTGTCTTCAGTCACGCGGAACACTTGATTCTGGTGTTTCCCTCTTGGCATGAGATGCAGGAAATTTTTATTTAAATTCCTTTCGGATCTTTATTTCATGAGGCACATTATTATTAATTATTGTTAATATCAGTCTACTTCCTCTGTGATGCTGAAAGGTTAAAAAAACACTAATAAGTCAAAATCAGGTGCATTTTTCTTTATACACTGGGTGAAAGCAGAACATACACATTGCAAGTTACACAGCTAAAGAGAATGTATTAAACTGCTTGGAAATTACACTTACTCGAATGCACTTAAAGTTAAAATCTCAAATGTTTCTATTGAAAGTTACATTAAACCAATTTCCTGTGCAAAGAACTTACTTGTATTCTTTAAGGACAGCATGATCCTCTGTCAAGTTTCCTTTTTTGTGAAAACAAAACAAATGCATAAGGCAAAGATTCCACCAATCCTTAGAACTCTCCGGTTATAGCTGCTTTGAAACTTCCAAATGAATCAGGAGTTGAGGAGGGCGTGGGGGGAGCGGTAAAAATTAGGAGAATTTCCAGATTGATTCCCAGACTTCTCCGTCACAGAAATGTCAATCCGTAGGAATCCGAACCGGAGATCTCAAGAGCACGAGAAAAAAAAGGCAGCGGCGGCAGCAGATGAATTACAATTTTCAGTCCAGTATTTGCAGAAGTCCTGTGATTTTCCCCCTCTCGGCCATTTACACGCGCACACACACGCGCGGGCACAGACATGGATCTCTATCCGCGGGACCGTTTCACGCCTCCACCGGAGACAGACAGGGACGGGGGGCCGGTGGCCGAGCCGGGCACGGGGGCGGGAATCCTCTTCCGATTAAACTCCGAACAGCAAATGCATTTTCCGAAAAGCTGCTTGATAAATGAAGGCAGGACGCGCCCGGCCCGCCGGTGCCGAGCGCGAGAAGCCCGCGCTGTGTGTGGTGCGGCGAGGGGTGGGGAGAAGGAGGTGGTGGGGGAGGGCTTTATTTTTTCCCTCTTCCTAAAAAGGATGACTCCTACGAAGTTCTCCCCCCTGGACCCCCTCTTCCGCTGCACCCCACCGGCGCACCCCGCCTCCGGGCTGCGCACCCTTTCTCCTCCTCTAGCTCCTGCGCCGCGGCGCTGGCGGCGGCCGCCTCCCCCGCGCTCCCGCCGCGCACCCGCTCCGGGCGATGACGGCCGCGCCGGCGGGGAGGGCCCGGCGCCCGGCACCTTCGCTGGCAGCGGCGGCGGCGGCGGCTCGGCGGGGAAACCGAGAGCCGCGGGCGCGAGCGCGAGCGCGGCGGGCGGGGAGGGGGGCGGGGAGGAAGGGGGCGGGCGCGGGCGGGGGCGGGGGCGGGGGCGGGGGCGGGGGGGGCCTGGCCTCTTACTTCATTCTCCGCTCGAACCGACTGGTTTCCTGTACGTACGTCACTCTGTTCATTCAAAAAAAGAAGAAAGAAAGAGCCCTCCTCGGAGCCGCCCCGCCGCCCCCTCCGCCGCTCCCCTTCCCCGGTTAAAGGAGCCGCGGCCGGGCCGGGAGCGGCGCGCCCCGCCGGGGACACATGGCGCGCAGGGCCCCGGCCCGGGACGGCCCCCTCCCGCGCGCAGGGCCCGGCCGGTGGGTGGCGCGGGCGGCGCAGGCCTCCCGCGCGGCCGCGGCGCGGTGGGTGTGCGAGGGGCCTCCTCGGGCCTGCGGCCGGCCCGGCGCGCGCGCAGGGGCCAGCGAGGGGCCGGGGGCGCCCGGGGACCCCCACGCGGGCGGCCGGCGGCTGCTGACTAGGTGCGCGGAGAAAACGCGCTGGAAAAGGGAATCGCTTTGCCCCTTTCTAACCGGGTGGGGGGGGGTAGGGGGGGTGTACACATCGTGTTACAGGCGCTCGGCCCCCGGGAGAAGACCCAGGCCGGTGCTGACCCCGAGCAGAGGGACCTCAGCGACGCCCTCGCGTGAAGAGGGGCGACTCCGCGCATTCACTCGCGAGGGAAGCCCCCAGCGTCCTGTTCACTTTCAAGTTGCTTCCTAGGTGTGCATGCAGAACACGCACTCTGGAAACACCATCGGTGACCAAGGCCAGACATAGCTCTGAGCGGGCCGGGGAGGGGCGAGTGGGCAGATCACAGGCTTTAAAATGGTTAAGTTAATGCTTTTCCTCTGCTCCTGACAATTTCGGCCCTAGGTTGGGGCTGGACGCTGCGGAGGTGTGCAGGGCAACTTTCTGGCCCACAGGGCTAACAGCGGGGTGGGTGGGTTTCTAAAGGCCTCCACCGTCGCCTAGCCACCAATCCTAGATGGCCTCACCTTCTCAAGTTATCTGTACAGACACACACATATGTGTACACACAAGCACCCGCATTTTTTAATTCATCAGCATGAATAGGCCCTAGGAGAAAAGCGCAAGAGGGCAATCAAGTTGCACGTGTTTAACTATTTTTTATCTCTAAGAGTCTTGAGAAATAGAGCCCCAGAAAGTGTTTACTGAAAGCACAGCAGCTTACTTAATAGGGCTCAAGTACAAATATACGGGGACACTGGATTATTGTGGTCATAGAAACATGGCAAAGGAGCACAGCAATGTGTACAACTACGTCGTGACACTGTCTCTGCTTTGTCTCATTCCTGGTCTAAAATCAAGCGTTTATTGTTAAGCAAAATAAACGCAGCAAATTATTTTCATTTCTTCATTTATCATACCCAATCAGCCAACATGCTAACCTCTTGCATGCAGGAATGAGTGCCTGGTACAAACTTCTTATTCCGGCAAGAGAGGATGAAGGAAAATGCTCTTAGATCTTCTGATGGCTGTGACAGGGTCTCCTTTTTTCCACGTCAGTGGCAGGGAGGTGTTCTGGCCTGGAGATAGACATGGAGTATAGACTGACCCCAAATATATGTTCTCACGGAAATAATAGAACTCATACTAATGCCAGAACGTTACTGTTTCAGGATCTTCTCAGAACCTTGTCTTAAACTCCCAAAATTACTTAAGAGGAATTGAAAGCCTTAGTGCTTCTGAGACCCAGCATGTGAGTGAGGAAATGAGAGGGCAGAGCTGGAAAAGAGATTGTACTTCTGCAAAGGGGGCAGCCAGAAGGAAATGGATACCCCCATTCCCAGAGAAAGAAACGCTTCCTTATTTTTTCCCCCTCCTTTGCTTCATAGAGCCTTACGTTACAGGTGTTCCTTATGTAGCATCTTGATCATAACCACACATTCTCAGGACAGGTCCGTGTTATAACCCTTGACTAAGAGTATATATCCTGGGAATGTTCTGGATCTCTTTCAATCAAAAGAGTGAAACCATTCCTCCATTCAGATTCCATGTTTATTGGATTCCACTTTAAAGTATGAGGTTAAGAATTCCTCGGAAGTGTGTGAATTAACTGTTTGTCTCCAGGTATTAGTGAGAGAGTGGAGGGATCACTGGCCTGAGTCAGGAGTCCTGGGTCTGAATCCCAGAGACCTTCTAACAACCTTCCAAATGTGTGCGCTGTGGCCTTTTCACTTCCCAAGATGTCTTCCACTTTTGGGAGCCAATGGACGGCCCTCTCACCAGCTTTGTCTGGCTGGTTTCTAGCAGGAGGGTGGCACCAGGAAGAGAAAGAACAAGATGCAGGGAGTGGAGCTTGTATCCAGAGTCTGAAAGGCCTGTGTTTTCCTTCTTTATTCTCCAATCTGCCAAACAAAAAGCTTTCTATTGCCAGTTTTCGCCACCTACTGGTTGATGTTTAACAGCATGATTCAGAAAGTTCTCTTCATCCATCACCAACATAAATGTCCTCAAAGTTTAGGAAATTCAAAAAGGACATTATTCGAATCTGGATATACTAATGCTTAATATAGATATGTATTAAATCTTCTCAACTATTAAACTTTTTATTTAAAATGAGGATAGAGGGGCTGGCAATGGGGCCGAGTGGTTAAGTTCACGTGCTCCACTGCAGTGGGCCAGGGTTTCGCCAGTTCGGATTCTGGGTGCGGACATGGCACCACTCGTCAGGCCACGTTGAGGCAGCGTCCCACATAGCACAACCAGAAGGACCTGCAACTAAAATATACAACTATGTACGGGGCGATTGGGGGAGATAAAGCAGGAAAAAAAAAACAGGATTGGCAACAGTTGTTAGGTCAGGTGCCGATCTTTAAAAAAGAAAAAAAAAGAAGAAAGACACCATTAACTGAGAGAGAACTGGCAACTAATAGGTAGGATGAAAGAGTTAAAAATATAAAACATGACCCCAAACCATTTAGGCAAACTGAAGTGGAAATAAATCCATAAACAAAACGAAATGACTAGAGAGAGTAAAAACAAGGAGTCTATGTAGGCTGCATAAGAAAAATGAACTGCTTAAAAAATAACATCTCACAGGCCTAGATAACCAAGTCAAAGACACTGATTGCCAATTTCAAGCGTCTTCTACATTGTTTCCAGCTTTATTGAGATATAATTGACATAAGTATCTTATACATTATAAACTCTTATGCTAGTGTCACGTTCTTTCCGATGGCTTGCATGTTTTGTTGGCAAACATTATATAACATTATTATTATAATACTAACTCCTAATTCGTAATAGTTAAGAATACTAACAGTAATACTGTTCCCGATTCATTTATGCTCCGAGCCTGTCTTCTTTTCTAAGAGTGATCACATCCAAATCATCTGCTTTGTGCTCTCAAACCATCCTTGTCATCACCATGAAACTCTTTTGCCAAATCTAAACCAACAAGGCTTGGTTTAACTGAGAAACCCACCTGACTAATTTATGGCGGATCCTAAACCTCAAAAAATGTTTAGAATAATTAAGCAACGACCTTTGAAACTAGGCAACGAACTGCAGATAAATCATTCTGTTGTGCCAACTTAATAGTGTGCAAGTAATGTTTACTTTGGTTTACAAAGGAAAGCGCAGGAAATTCACTTGTGGCAATTTTTTCCTTTCAAATTAATGACTTGGCATTTAAAGTGAAATAAACCAAAAGTAGGAACTTGTCATACTTTTCAAATGCCTATTGCTCTTGTTGGGTTGAAACTACAGTAATAGAACCAAACAACGTGAAAAACACCACAGTGTTGGGGAATAGGCAAAGAATTTACATTCTTATGTGCAATAACTAACTTTTATTCTCTTATGCTCTTTAGCACAGAGCACAGTATCTCCCGGATATTAATTGCTGATGAACACATTTAGGAAGATCAAGGTTAATATGTTTGTTTTCTAGGGCTGCAGTAACAAAGTACCACAAACTGCGTGGCTTAAAACAGAAATGTATTCTCCTACAATTCTGGGGGCTGGAAGTCCAAAATCAAGATGTCAGCAGCACATGCACCCTCTGAGGGGTCAAGGGAAGAATCTGCCTTGCCTCTTCCTAGCTTCTGGTGGTGGCTGGAAATCCTTGGCATTCATTGGCTTGCAACTGCTTTACTCTGATCTCTGCCTCTGTTGTCACATGGCATTCTCCTTGTGTGTGTCTGTTTTCTCCTATTCTTATAAGATCACCAGTCATATTGAATAAGGACCCTAATAACCTCACCTTAACTTGATTATATCTATGAAGACCCCATTTCCAAATAAAGTCACATTCATAGGTTCTGGGGTTTAGGACAGCAACATCTTTTGCGGGTACACAACAAAAAACAAAACAAAACATATCTAATAGGGCATCTTTCAAATTCGTGGGGTTTATGCCAAGGCCCAAGTGCTCAGCACCCCCTACATTTCAAGGGGAAGCATGATCTTTCTAAAGCTAACATCTGGGCATTTCATATTTCTGCTCAAAGTTCTTCAGAGGCTATAATCTCAACTCCTCTGCATGGCATGATGTGGGCCAAGCCTACCACCTGGGCGCCCACTCTTTCCTTCTGCTTTCCCTTCTTGCAGCTATATTAACTTTGTGTGCTTTTATGGAATACACCAAGATCTCTCATGTGTTTTGCTTTTGTGCATCTGCTCATCTCCCTGAAATGCACCCACGCTTTTCATGGCAAATTCATACTCATACCTCATTTCATCTCAAGAACTTCCCCCCATGAGAGCATATTTGAATTTCCTGGGCAGTCTGAGGATTCCCTTTGTGCCACTGGAAAAGGCTTTGTACAGAATTGGAGCTTCAAAGTCAGAAAACAGGGGTTTGAATCCTGGCTCCACTTCTTAGTAGCTGAGACCTTGTGCTAGTTACTTAACCTCTCTATATGCCTGTGCCTTCAGTTATAGCCTGGGGATGTAGATGGTACTATTCATAGGACTAGTGTATGATTTAAATGAGTTACATGTAAAATGCTCACAACAGTGACTAGAAGGGGTGATGTTTCTAAGGTCAGTTGTGCTATCTTAATCATAGCTCTTGTTGGATCACAGTGTAATTTCCAGCATCTGTGTTTCTCACTAGATTATAAACTATGTGAGGGCAGGGACCATATTTTCCTCTGTCCATTCCCAGCCTAGAATAGTGCCTGGCATTTAAATATTTGTGGCATAAAATTCGGAGGCCCGAGCTGAAGAAAGGAATGGGGAGTGGTTCCTCCTTCTCCAGGAAGACTTGTAAGAGCCTTCAGAGGGATGAGGGAGTGGGGAGGGAAAGAAACAAGAAATGCCATCGCCACAAGGGAGGGACAAATTCTTTATGCAGAGTTGTGTCCCCAGTGCCTGGATACCAAGCTCATCATAAGCACTCAATAAATATATGTTGAATGAGGGAAATGGAAGGTATAGAATCAGCAGTGGAACAGAAGTCAAGAAATATTTTTCTTTTTAAACATCCAAACATAAAAATTGTAGAAGTGATATCATATGCCATTTATGCATATAAATTGCTCGAATTTAAAGAAAGGTTAAGTTTGCAAACCAAGATGTCCAAGAATCTTTTCTTGACATGACCAAAATTTTTCTATTTAAGGACCAAGAAATATTAAGGCATGTTCTTTAACATACAGGTCTCCTATGCCCTTCAGAGTCTAGGAGATATTTTATTGTTAGACTATGAAGGTTTAAAGTATGGGAAATCAATTTATTTGTATATGAAACATAATTACTTAAGACATTTTACTAAATTCCGCATTTCTTACTCTCTTACTCATATATTCCACAAGAGAGTCACACAAACACAGGACATATTTAAAACAAGAGCTCAGAATACCAAGTACTTACTCTAAAAATATTACTTCCTGAAAAATGATAAAAATCAAGCCTTGGCAAGTGTTTAAGATGCAAGTTTAGGATAACACTATGGAAGAGGTTTGTGTTTTGCTTCAAGTGTCTGTCAAAAAACACAGATTTCTAGAAAAATAAGTTTTCAAATCTGTAAAGCTTGTTCCCCATTTATTTTTTTCTTGTGATTCAGAAATACAAGATATGAAAATTAGGTTACAATTCTGGCACAAAAGCTTCTAAAGTAGCAAACACAAGTTCTAATATATATCAAAATAGCCATGTGCACTCTTCTCAGTTTAAAAATGTCTTTAGAGTTTTCACACCAAGCAAGTGTAAAATATAATAGCTATTGCCTGCTCTTCAAAATATCAAGTCTGCCGTCACTGCCCTGAACTAAATGAGATTTAGTCCAGCATACGGAAGATCATGGTTAGCAGGTACTTTGTAGGGCTGAGTTACTAAGAACTAAAGGAAATGAGAAAGACACAAAGCATCTTACATCAAAAAGTATGAATATTTCAGTGTCCTCGAGTAGGACATGTTTAAATTAGAACATGATGTAATAAAATTAAATCACCTGATGATATAATTCAGTAAAAGGAAAAATTATTATGTATTGCCTGCTTCTAGAAAGACAAAGACATACAATTCTTTGAATCGAGGCAACTACTACCAAAATGCTTTTGTCATCTAAATATTGGTCTCTCAACATTTCACTTCCATGAATTAACAATATATGGTTTAACAGATCCCAATAAAGCCTTATAACTAAATATATACAAGTATCAATGTAAAGAGGCCATCATTAACAGCATTTTTAATTTCTTCTCTTTTCAGCTGTGAAAATTAAATTTAAAAAATATAGAAAAGAACAATTCCCTTGACTTTGTTTTTGTAAAAAGAAATGAGGATTATTTTTTATACCTTTTTCAATTATCCTTGAAGATACTGTGAGATTTCTAGGGCTGAATGACACTAAACATTTTAAAATAAATAGACTCACAAATACACAATAATAAAACAGTACAACCGAACCTAGCAGAGGGAGGCACTTCAGAACTGAAACTGGCATAAAACCCTGTGGTCAGTCACATACGGAGAGCCCACATTTCAGCGGAATTATGATAAACTTCTGCCAGAGATGAGAGTCAACAACTTCTGGGTATAACATAAAGTGACGAGTCAATGCAATCCTTAAAAAAAAGCCAACAGTTTCCCTAACAAACAGTCTGACTCAGAGCTTTTTTTCTTCCCTCGAGCAAAAAAACAAGTCAATGTAAAAAAAGTGGTACAAGAATTGAGCCAAAAAAAGTAAAAAGTAGAATTTGCCTTGTAATAGTTACATGTTTTGGATGAAGTCAGGTCATTGGGTGACGCGGCTTAAATGTCCACAATCCCTTGTCCAAAACCCTCTGGGCCAGATGTGTTTCAGAATTCATCAGATTTTGGATTTTGAAAAGGTAATATGGGGCATATACTGGATATGACAAAACACCACAGAGTCTGGGGCAATACCTATAATCAAACCCACTGGTATTTTTTCAGGTGAAATTAATAAACAGTCCAGGAAGTGGCATAAATAAGAACTATCATAATCTCATGTCAGTTCATGTCAGGTTTTGCTATCAAATGAATTATGGCACCAAATTTAGAAAGAAAAAAAAAAACCACCTTTCCAAAGTTTTTTGAATACAGGACTGTGGACCTTTGACATCTCTGACAAAGAAGCCCATTCTCTGAAATTATCATCTCCACAAATCTCCTGCTATGTCTGAGCTTCAATTGGGTTGGGGGTAATATCTCTCACCAGAGAACGGGAGCTCTTAAATTTGTGCAGGCAGATTACCTGAGGTGACAGTACTGTCTATAAGGACACCTTAAGAAACGTATATTGAAAAAACTATTGTTAAATAGTTAATTTTATTAAATGAGATGCCATCTTGGACTAAATTTTAATATACACCAGCAGGAGAAGGTGCCAACATTCAAGGAACATTTATGAGAAAAGAATAAAATTGAGAAACATCCTGATATTAATGTAACTGTTTTCTGCAAATTAGGAAAATACAGCCAATACTCCATTTTCGAGGCTGCACAATATGACTCAACGGAGTTTGCAAACGATGGCTACACAAGACTGAAAGATTCATGAAACCATTTATGGCATCAACCCACCCCTATGAACTGCAATGAAGTCATCCAAGCAACTTAGATATTAAGTAATCATTTCTTCTGTCTTTATCAGTGTTTAAAATATGCCAGTCTCAGATCTTAATTTAAAAAACACCATGGATTAAAGCTATTAAACATTTTACTTTTTAAATATTAAGTCATTTTAAAGTCAAGAGGTTCAAAAACTCAAGAGCAAAAAAGGTTTGCTATAATTTTTAGGTCTTTAATCTTTTGTAGAATTGTGGGGGTTTTAATAATAAAAAAGTTTCTTCTTCAAAAGCGGTGGTCTTTTCTCACCAAAGTGAACTGGAATGTGCTACTGTATATGCATACTGTGTATGCAAGAAGGAGGGGATACAGCATTACAAGGAAGGTAACTGTCCTCAAGTAGGAGGACCACATACAATGACAGGATGGAGCGGTAACATTGGCTAAAACTCATCATAGGCACTTATTGTGGAAATCCACTAATGAACAACAGAGCCTGTAATCTGGAAACAACATTCACGAGGCCAAGAGGATTTCCAGGGTTATATTGCGAGAGCGACAACTGGGCTTCCTTACCATGTGGTTTGAAGAGAATGTTCTCAAAGTCAGTGGGAGAGTCACAGAAAGAATGGGGTGATCATTTTATTTCAAAAGCGAGTATCTTCAAAATGGGCCTTGTCGTCCTACTTTCTGTTCTGAATGAGTAAAATTTAAATATCCTATCGCCAGCCTTTCCTAAAAGCTACATTTATGCTACAAGGAGAAGAATGTCACACTTCTTAAGTTTTTTCATTTGTTTTAATTAATTCATGAATTAATTTAAAAATTCAAGCCAAAAATTTTTAACTGGTCTTCTTTTTTCTTTTTTTTTTTTTTTTTACAAAAATATTATAGCAGTATCAGCAAAATAGGAAAGGAAGAGATGGGTAGAATGAAAAGACACTATAATGGAATGGAACTTCAGGTCATCATGGCTATTGAAGAAATTGTAAACTTTTAAGCTTCTACGATTTTACTTCTTTCAGAAAACGTTTTAGGAGGCTGCTTTTCCCCATGAGTGAAAAATGAAAAGGGCCCTTGGCATTCAAGTCTAACGAAGACAAGACAGCATTATTTTTCCTACTGGAAAATATTTATCTCCTTCTCCTCCACTGCATTGCCCTCTCCCATCCCCCTTGTAGTGTTATGGGATCAAAGAGAGAGAGAAGCCACAAGGGTCCACCAGTAGCAAAGTGAGTCAGGGACATTATTATGCATTGGGACTCACTGGCAATGTGTAAAACTCATCTTGAATAAAATATACCAAGCTAAAAAGAAAAAAAAAGGCTTTAGAAACCCATAAACTGCCTTTCATGGAAGGTTTAAAAAGTCCTTAAGACTTCTTACGTGTCACAAAGTACATTTCTGGACTTGATTTCTATGGGGAAAAACAGAATAAATAGAAAAAATTTCAATGATCACTCTGAAATCCTGTTCTTTACCCTGCTCACACGCTATTAGTTCCCATACCATCAGCACCTCTCCACTTCAGAGAATCCAGTGGTCTCCTATTCCACATTTGCATAGTATTAATAATATTGTCTGGAGTTGAACTTCTATCCCCTCGCTTGCAGCCAGGTTTCTGAAGAGCAGTGGTCCAATCTCACATATTCAAAAGCAATACATAAGTGTCTGTAGGCCAAAATCTGGGTCCCATTTAGCAGCAAGCTGTTCAGATTATTTAGAAACAGTCTTTTTCCGACGGGTAAGAATTAGGCAGTTTTGTCTGCAATTTCAGATTTTGCTCTCTGCATCATACAGCGACGAACTATGCTGTCGAAACTTCCAATGTAAAACAAAGCGATAGTGCGGAAAAGGCCCATGGTGACCACCTGTGTGAGAGAGAGAGAGAGACGTCTGAGCTCATCCCTACAGTACAATACAACCGTTCATTTCAAGGGATTTTAGGATATGTCTTTAACAAAACCGTTTCTAAGACACATCTTCTAATCTGCTCCAAGAATAAGTATAATGGAAACTCTATGACTGTCAAAAGAACGGTGAGAACGGAAGCTGTCTGCTCTCCACCACTGTCCACACAGTGCCTGCCGGTCTGTAACAGCAAAATATTTGTCCAATTAATAAATTCAAATTATACCAAGAATAAAACAGGTATTCTCAGTAGTCTTAGGGTTCTAATAACGAGGGAAGATCCACTCCAGCATTGCAAGGCTTTTTGGTTTAAGATTTATGTTCCCATCACAAAATTCAGACCCTATGCTAGGCGCTGAGACTCAGTGGTGAGAGAAAAACAGTCCTGCCCTCCACTGGCTTATTCCATACTTGGAAAGACAGTCAACTAGAGAAAGGCCATTCCTGTTTCAGGGTTAAACCAGCAATTAACCATATCCATTAACTGTCACTCTTTCCACTAAGACTCTCACTACAACAGCTCTAAATGGAATTTTTTAAGAGGCAGAAAACTACAAAGAGAAACATGTTCAAATATGCAAAGTCTCAAAAAATTTGCCCCCCATGCACCCTTTCTTCAGAAAGCTACTAGAAGAGGTAAATGGCCAATGTGAGAGAGTCAACAAAGAAAGGCAATGTCAAGTGATACAAGAAGCGGGAAAAGAAGGCAAAGAGGTGCCCAGAACGATCATGTTGGGGAGGCCCGGGGTCAGCTACGCACTAGACATGGGGGCAGCTAGTCCTGACCGGCAGGTCAGAAGGCTCCAGGAGGAATTCCTTCTAGAAGGTGAAACTGATGGGGTATCCAGTATTTCTGAGAGGAGGTGAAGACAGTCATTATTAATAATACAAAGAAATAATACATAGAAAAAGGCCAATAATAGTTTCAGGGAAAACAAAAGGTTGTACAAAAAAGGAAAATTAATTATGCATATTACATAGCTCAGCTGTGAATAGCATTTAAATAGCCATAATGATTATCTCAAATACAGAACCAAAATCCTAATATCACAAAAAGGGAGGGTGCGGAGGAGGAGAGGCGGGTGTAAGTGGGAGGAGGAGGGGATGAGGAGAGCTGAAACCTGACCTTTCACAGCAGAGGTCAATACCTGATCCCAAACTGGGAAAGAGTGGGAGTGATCACAGAAGTACAGAATCTAGAGACATGGAGGGAGATGTGAGAAGGCCCAGCTACAAGGACAGTGCAGCTGCTCCTGAGAAGGGTGAAATGGAGCAGGTGGAGGAAGAGACCACTGGTTTTCATAACGAGCCTTGAAAACGACTTGATTCTCTGGAGTGTGTGCCAGGATAACTTTGCAAAATGTAAAAACCACAGGGAAGTTGGAAAAAGGCAAAACTATGGAGACAGCAGAAAGATCAGTGGCTGCCAGAGGTCTAGAAGGAAGAAAGGAGGACTGACTAGGTGGAGCACAGGTGAATTTTAGGGCAGTGAATATTCTGTATGACACTGTAGTGGTGGATACGTGTCATTATACATTTGTCAAAACCCATAGGATGGACGTGCAACACCAAGAGTAAATCCTAATGTAACCGAGGACTTCAGTTAATGATAATGTATCAATACTGGCTCATCAACCGTAACAACGTACCACACTAATGCCAGGCGTTAAAAACAGGGGAAACTGGGGCGAGGCAGGGGTGGGGGATGGTATATGGGAACTCTGTAATTTCCACTCAAATTTTCTACAAATCTACAGACAGCTCTAAAAAAAATGCCTATTATTAAAAAAAAATAAATAAAGGAAAGAAAAAACCTCAAGAAAAAGCAATTATAATACAGCATAATAAAGTGCTAAAATGGGGCTAAGTCCAAGGCATTTAACCCAGTCTTGGAGTTTTCTGGAAATAGCAGTGTTTAAGATGAGACCTGAAGGAAGACTGGAAGTTGGTTGCACAAAGGAAAGCTGGGGATGGAGGGACACAGACAAAAGTTGCAGAAAGAGAAGGCGAGGCAGGGAAGAAAGTTGCATGGCTGGGAGGGTAAGCGGGGTCAGAAGTCAGAGGGCTGTGCCGCGCGATGGAATGGAAGCTTTATCCTGATGGTACTGGGGAGTCACTGAAGGTTGTTACCCAAGGTAGATTTGCAGCTTAGAAAAACCAGCATGGAAAATGTAATGGCACACTCAAACGTACCCGAGGCTTGGGGCAGGTGCTGCAAGACCACACGGATTGGAAGACCGTGTCCTGGTAATGGGAGCAGCTGCCACCCTGAGCAGCTCATTACTGCCAGAAGAGAATACAGACCCTGTGCTGCCAGGCCTTCTGAACTTCCAAGACAAGTCCAAAATCTGGACTTTTTATGTAAAATTTAATTTTAAAACTATTTTATTTGACTAAGCACACTCATACCAGATGGGCCAAACAAAATATTTTCCAGGCCTGTGGGCCCCCAGTTGATGACCTCTGGCTCACAGAGCATGACACTCAGGCAAGGAGCTGATGGCAGCAACCTAGGCCCGAACTGTGGGAGCAGCAGCAAGGCCGGTGAAAGTGAGCGGCCCCAAGACTAGGGACCAGAGATGGATCTGATCCCTGATGTGAGGGGCAGAGGAGGGGAGTCAGGGATGACATCCCGGTTTCTGGCTGGCCTCTTGAGTGAACATGAACACCCACCACAGAGACAGAAGACAGAGTCGATGACGGGAAGTGGGGGCAGGATGCTGGGGAAACAGAAGTTTTATAGTGGACATGTTGAATTGGAGATGTAGAGTTATAGCCCAGGGAAAATGTCTAAAGAAATTTCCACAGAACTGGAGTTCTGGAAGTAGGTATGGGGTGAAGTTTTAGATTTGGCATCAGTTGTATAGAAGTGGGAGAATGGACAAGATCGCCCACAGGGATCGTGCAGAATTCACCCGGTCATCCTGCTCATGCATTCTTAGTCCCTACTAGGTGCCAGGCATGGGCTGCAAGGGGTACAACGTACACACGAGAGTGTGGACCTGTCCTCAAAGAGGGCATCTAATCCAGTGTCTGCCTCTAAGAGAGAAGCACAAACTTGGGAGTATATTCTAAAGTGAGGGAAACTCACGCCTAAGCCATTTGGGTTTTTAGTCTGGACAAGGTCTACTACGCAGAATTTTAGTCCTTTGTCATCAACTACCCATCAGTACAGGCAGCTTTCCCACCCTCTACCCTCCATCATCCATGGCTTTGTCCTTCAAGAGCAACCCCTCGACTATACCTCTCATATTACCTTGTGTTAGTGTCCCCTTTTGTATCAGTCTCTCCCAGAGACTGTAAGCCCCCTGAGGTCAGGGCGGAGGGCCTGATGTCTGAGTCTCCAGTAGCAAACATGGCAGCGAGCACACCAATGAGCAGTTAATTAACCTCTGTGCGTCCTGGACGAACTGTAATTCCCATAATGGCAGGGACTGTGTTGAATCCTTCCATCGTATCTCCCTCAGCTTAGTTAACTGTGGACTGACTCTCCTGGAAAAGGTCCTCTAGTCGAATAGCTCAGTAATTTTAGGCAAGACCACCCCTAAACTACTCTAGAAAGAGAAGATTTTCATTTTTCAAACACTTCAGATCAGTGGTTCTCAGATGAGAACCCAACAGCAGAGACAGCGTTTTTCCTCTCTATCCACAGTGCCCAGCACAGAACACTTCTACTCATCTAAGCTCCTCAAGTTGTATCTTTACCCTATTTCCTATTGACTTATCCCTCGGAGAGGAAGGAAAAAAGTTGACGCTGTCAATAAAAATTCTTCACATCCTCAGATAAAGCTACTAAGTCTTCCTGTAGCCTTTTCTCATTGAGGTTAAATGAGAGGCACTGTCTGTCTGTCCATCTGACGGCCTATGCATAGCTCACCTGCTGGAGCCCTTCAGTGATAGAAGTTACCGGAGCCATTCCACAGGTCAGGGACGAGAGCATGTACCCATCTGAGCCAATGGAACTGTTAAAATTCCCTTGCTAAAACAGAAGGAAGAGAAAAGAGAGAGGCAATGTAGTAACACGTAAAGGGATCAACTCAACACGTCAGAAACAATGAAGTGTGTCCGTTCACGTGAGTTGGGATAAGAGGTTGACAAAGCACATACCGCAGCTCATAAATGACCGTGGCCTTGACAGATGGGCTACACCGGCTAGACGGGTGGTTCTCAAAATGTGGCTCCACGGACCCTGGGGGTCCTGAGGCTCTTTCGGGGAGTCCATGAGGACAAAACAATTGTCATAATAATACTAACACATTAATTGCCTCTTACACCGAGTGACATTTGCACCGATGGGCAAAACTGCTGGCTCATTAGCATGAACCACAAGTGGTCGTCTCTCCTCTGCCATACACACTTGCAGTAATAAATACACAAAGAAAACAGAAATTTAAAAAAGTCTTTAAAACATTTAAAAATGTCAGTTTTGCTTTTAAAACACCCTTGATAAAGCAGTAAAATTAATCATTTTATTAAATCTCAGCTCTTAAGGGCATTCTTCTTATAAATAAAAATTTTTGTGTGTGTGTGATTTTTTTGTGATAAAAAGAGGAGAACGCACCCAGTGCTTCTTTCTGCCGTGCAAAAAGGGGGACGGCTGCCCGGAAGAAGGGCCCCCGTGACACTGCCGCTTTTTTCACAGAACACCATTTTTACGTGAAAGAACCAGGGACAGACAATCTACGGTCTTTCAGACTTGGGTATTTGGAAGACATTTTGTGGAAAATGAATAAAATGAGCCTGTCGTTTCAAGGAAAATTGGCAGCTTTTGGGGTCAATGTTAAAATCTGAGATTTTAAGGCAAAATTAAGATTTGTGAAAACTTGTATCTGCCATCATGAGGCTGTCAGCTTCCCAAAATGTAAAGACTTTTACGATAAGATCAGCAGTGATAGAATGAATGTAACTTTTTTGATAACTCAGTGAACCCATATTTTCCAAATGACTAATGCATAATGTTACAAAATCATGAATGGGTACAAACATTCAAAGTGCAAAGACCAATGGATTTTAATGTAACAGAAAACAAAAAGTTCATTGATGTCATTTCCAATTCCACATCGCAACTAACCTTTCAAAAAGTACTATTCATTGACTTTGGGTTTCATATCAAAAAAGAATGTTCACCGTTCTCTGAAAATTGTATGAAATAGAATTTCATAGGAAATTTCTATGAAATATTCCTCCCTTTTCTAATACATATCTGTGTAAGGCCAGATGCTCTTCATATCCTTCATTCAAAACAACATATTACAACAGACTGAACGCAGAAGCACCTGGAGGAACCCAGTCATCTTCTACGAACACAGACAGCAGAGAGACAGCTGAGATGGAAAACAGCGCCACTCTTCTCACGCAAGTTCAGTTTTGAAAAATAATTTTCGTTGGAAAAACGCTACGTAAAAATGTAATGGGTTTATTATTGTTATTTTTAATGAATTAATAAGTATTTTTTAATTACACAGTTTCAATTTCTAACATGGCAAAATATCAATAAATATATAGTCAATGTAAAGAAAAGTTCTCCGGGGTTGTCATCAATTTAGAGTCTAAAGGGTCAAGAGACAAACAAGTTTGAAAACCACCAGAGTGGGGCCAACCCGGTGGCACACCGGCTAAGTTCGCACATTCCACTTTGGCGGCCTGGGTTCTGCTGGTTCAGATCCCAGGCATGGACATGGCACCACTTGGCAAGCCATGCTGTGGTAGGCGTCCCACGTATAAAGTAGAGGAAGATGGGCATGGATGTTAGCTCAGGGCCAGTCTTCCTCAGCAAAAAGAGGAGGATTGGCAGCAGATGTTAGCTCAGGGCTAATCTTCCTCAAAAAAAAAAAAAAAAGAAAAGAAAAAAGAAAACCACCAGACTACATGAATCATGCCAAAATATGGACAGCTACTTCAGATGATTAAAAACACAGACCGCGTTTGCTTTGATTTGTTATAGGCAGGAAAAACAAAGTTGGCCCAATCACGTGGTGGCATCTTTCTGTGCCTTTGAACACAATCAGGGTAAAGTTCTTCCCGTGTCTGTATATATTTGAATAGAGTTCGACATTTCTTGTATTCTGCTCAGTTCGGCCTCATGCAACCATCTGCACGTTCCTTTGAGGCTGCTGCACAGCATGCTGACACTTCTCATTCTGATGGTCCCCCAAATTTCCTAAATTCAATGTGGGCCTAAGGTCTACAGACATCCCTCATAAATGTGTATCTTTCTGCATGGGGGTTAATGAGAATGTTGTCAAAAAGCTTGTGGCACATATGTTGTTCTACAAAATAGCACACGGTTTCTAAAGATTCTATTTTTGACTCCAAATAAACTCCGCAGCCTGGAAGCACAGGAGGCTAGGCTGACGGATGATGGCCTAGTCTAGTTGCACTTTCTTATTAGTGAACATCTGGGAAAATGATACTGGGAAGCAGGGAAGAGAAAGAAAAAATTCCTTAATCAACGAGTCTGGCAATAAGGTACCAAAAATAATCTAAAACTGAAAATACTGTGGGAAAGAAGAGGCAAGATGCCACATACAGCAGACAGTGTCTACCGTTCACACATCATAGAGAAGTCTCATTTTCTTTTAAAGAACCGAAGTTCCCAGACATCCTTGCTAATCAATCTGTTCCTAAGGTTAAGGTGCTAATTAGTTTCCAGGAGCCTACTAATTAACATGGAATCAATAAAGTATCTAAGGGAAGAGAAGTAGAGTCCAATATTAGATATGATGAATCTAGCTGACGAAAAAATACAATCATTTATATTTTGAAATAAGCCCTGGGACAAATAAATATCTTTTCAGAAGTAACTATAAGTACTACAACTATTAAATAATTATCAATACTACAACTATTAATAAAGAAAAGGAAGATTGCACTTACTATGGCATCTTTAACAATTTGTTTGGCCACTTGCTCTGGTTTGCAAACAGATGTGGTCTCTGAAATGAGCCGAGTCTCCAAAGGCTGAAGGTGGGAGAAATGGACATAGCAACATCATGACTGCCCATCAAACTGACAAATACTCCTTACAGCCCCTCTCCTCCAATTTATAAATAATTCCAGTTTTCTACTTTTGGGCAGATTTCTACTTTTAGAATTAGACCCACCTGGATTCTATATCAGTTCTACCCAGATACTGTATAAAATTCAGCCCAGTAGCCAGAGCAAGACAAGGAGGCCCTCACTGCTCTCTGCAGGATACGTGTGGTCTGGGCTCCAGTGAGGACCAGCAAAGCTAGAATGAGAACACATCACTGGGACAAGACCAGAAACACCCCCTTTGCATTCTCACTGCTGGCCAGACACTTGACCGATGGCGTTTACACAAAGCCTAGACTGTGTGTTCTGAGCAAGTTTGCTCCTAGGACCAGCATCTCCATTCTCATCATACTCCCAGGCCAGCAGAGGACTTAATCCCCAACCCAGCCCCTGTTCAACAACGGCAGCTGTTTCTTAAGGATCTCCAGAGGAGGCAACAAGGAGACTGAAAGAGAAAACACCGAGTGGCCCCTGGCGTGGCTGTGTGCTCGTCACTGGGCTGGCGCCTCAGAGCCCCAAATCTCAGCCTTGTGTTCTTCAAAGGTCATTAAAGGTCCATCTCAATTGTCACTTAGCTTAAAAGGCCTCTCCTGATTTCTTCACTGGCAGTAATTTCTCTCTTACCTTTCAATGTTTCTGCTTTAATATATCTATACCTACTTGCATATTTGCATTTTACCTCCTAAGTTTCTTGTGGGCAGGGTCTTTTTTCATTTATTTGTGAATCTTCTTTGTGGTGACGTGCACATACGTGCTCAAAAATTCTTTAAAAGGGAATTTCAATTAGAAGTTTGAAAACTAAAGTCTTAAACTGCGTGAAACTAAATTTTATTTACCACGTAGGCTTGAAAAAATTAAATAAAAACCAGAAGAGCATTTTCTTAAAATAGAAAAGCACATCACTTCATAAAAGTCAAGTATTTCTTGATGAACCTGAATTAAGAGAAAGGCCCTTTTAAAGGTGCCACCATTCATTCTCCCAGACCACCAGCCAACGCAACCAGATGTGGTCAGACAGGCATTAGATTTAAAAGCACTATGGCGCCCTCTAAAGGGCTCAAAGACCAAGGTAGAATTTTATTTACCCAGAGAAGTCTGCCCAACACTTTAGGGGAGGAAAAACAACCCAACTTAACGTCAAAATCAAATCTTCACAGGGAAATCACCACCCTTTGTCAGCTCTGGCTTCAAACTAAAGGACTGCTTACCAAACGTTGCAAATCTGCTTAGCAGATCCGTGCTTATTCTAAGACAGGGCATTTGGCTTAAATTTACTTCTTTGAAATAGCAGTAATTTTAAGAGACAGAGCCAAAGAAAAATGAATAGGGAAAAAAGCTTCTAAATCATAAACATCTTTTTGCAAATATACTGGCTATGGAGCCTAAGTGCCAATTTTTATGCTGGGGGGATTCACACCTACCAAGCATCACCATGAAAGAGAAGAAACCCAATCAATGCCAGTTCAAGGGGATACGTTCTGATTGATGCCTTTCTTCTCCACTTTATTCCTGTGCAGAGAGAGGGCCTACTATGCATCAAGGATAAGAGGAGGTTCTTTTGAACCAAGTGCAAAGCTTGCATTCAGCTCAGGATGACTGACAGTCACTGTACGTAATGTAGATATCCAGTAATGATAAGCACTATGGAGAAAAACAAAACCAGGGGAGAGGATGGTGATGTCCCAGGAGTGACATTTGAGATACAGAGGGGCCGGGACATCCTCTCCGAGGTGATGTCTGTACAGAGATGGAAAGAATCAAAGAAGGAAGCCATTCAAACATCCGGAGAGAGAGGACAGTGAGAGCAAAGCCCGCAGGTGGGAACAGGCCAGGCGAGCTCAAGGAACAGACAGGGCTCTGGAGTCACTGAGGGCAAGAAGGGAAGGAAGAGCTGTGGGCAGGTGGCTGAGGTCTAAGCAGTGTGGAACCTAATAAGCCTTAAGCCTTTGGGTTCTATTCAAGGCATGATGGGAGCCCCTAGAGCCACACTCCCCAATACATAAGCCAATACCAACACGCGCTATTTAATTCTAACTTCAAATTAGTTAAAATTAGATAAAACTCAAAATTCAGTGTATCAGTTGCACCAGCCACATTTCAGGTGTTCAACAACAACGTGTGACTACCATATTGGAGAGTGCAGACAGAGAATATTTCCATCATTCTAGAACATTCTATTGGACTGTGCTGCACAAGAGGTTTTTGGTCTTTCGGGGTTGTTTTGTTTTTGTTTTTTGGCTTTTTTTGCACAAGAGGGGTTTGAACAGGTGGGTGACAAGACCTGACTAACGCTTTAAAAGAATCAACTAGCAACTCTACGAAGAACAGACCCAAGGGAGGTAAGAACAGAAGCAGGCAGACCAGTTCCAAGACTATTAGAGCAGTTCAGGCAAAATATCAGTAGCTATCACTACTAGGATGGTAGCGATTTTGCAGGTAAAAAAAAAGGTCCAGTTCAGGATATATTCTAAGAGTGAAGCCAAAAGGATGTGCAGATCAACTGGACGAGTGGTTTGAGAAGACGAATCATGGCCGGCTTCGCAGTTTGCAGCCTGAGCAGCCGGGTCAGTGGTGGGCACCAAGTAATGAGACGAAAAATAATGAGGGGGAATAAGAGGGAATCAAAAGTCCTGTTTGCGAGGGGCTGGCCCCGTGGCCGAGTGGTTAAGTTCGCGCGCTCCGCTGCAGGCGGCCAGTGTTTCGTTGGTTCGAATCCTGGGCGCGGACATGGCACTGCTCATCAAACCACGCTGAGGCAGCGTCCCACATGCCACAACTAGAAGGATCCACAACTAAAATATACAACTATGTACCGGGGGGCTTTGCGGGAAAAAAAAGAAAAAATAAAATCTTTAAAAAAAAAAAAAGTCCTGTTTGCGAAATGTTCAGTCTGAGGTACCCATTAGACTTCCACGTGGAGACAAAGGATTCGGCAACCAGGTCTTTAAGTTTAGGGGACAGACTATTATTTTTAAAAATATCATCTCGTTACTTAAAAATACAGGTCAGGGGCCGGTCCAGGGGCACAGTGGTTGTGTTCACGCGCTCTGCTTTGGCAGCCTGGTGTTCACAGGTTCGGATCCCGAGTCCAGACCTACATACCACTCATCAAGTCATGCTGTGACATCATCCCACATACAAAATAGAGGAAGACTGGCACAGCTGTGAGCTCAAGCAAAAACAGGAAGATTGGCAACAGATATTAGCTCAGGGCCAGTCTTTCTCACACACACACAAAAGTACAGGCTGTACCCTCCATCATAAAGAAAACATCTTATTAACTAAATAAGGTTTTGAAGATTATTAGCAAAAATCGTGGCCTTTGAAAATACGGCTGCATTCTCCAAAATTCCAAATGAAAGTTCCAGAAAGTTCAGAGGCCTCTAGCTAGCACATAAATTGAAAGGTGCTCAATTTTCTGATGGATGAAAACACCTGCGGGCTGAAGGGTGGAAAGACAGAGAATCAGAAGAGGGGTTTGCAACGTTAAATTCTCGACATGGGACTCAGAGAGGAGTACTTACCTTTGTTTTGTTTTCTTCGGCGAACCCAGGGGTGTCTGTGTCTGGCGGGTAGGCAACTGTGACGTAGACGTTATACGGCTTCACCTACATTTTAGAAACAACAGTTGCCCCTTCAGTAAACAACATGCAATTCCGCATCCTCTCTCACCAGCCCACACTGGCTGCCAGACAAACGTCGTAAACACCGTCCTGATTTTCTCCAAAGGTGCCAACACCAACACGGAGATTCTGCAAGAGGAGAACTACCAAGAACTGAGTCAGGAAACTCAGTTCCTGCATGCAGATCACTTAGAAACAAAGCCAAAAAGCTCACCCCAACCTCTCCTCCAGAAAACAGCTGGCCCTAAGGTATGGAGAGCTACCTCCTGAGCTTCTCCCACTCCCCTGACCAGGCAGAGGCCCTGGGGCTGCCCACGAGGAAAGCTTCAGTGCTAAAAGGAGTCTACTTGTTCTCCCCGCCCATAGACACTACGTTCAAGGCAATGGGATAGCTCTGCTCGTCCACCAGTGGACCGCAAATCTGTTCTTTACGGTTACTGCTGAAACTCTCGTACATTGATTTCACCCACAAAACATGTTGAGTACGTTGATTTCACCCACAAAACATGTTGAGATCCTTCAAATCCCTTCCCCTATGTACCTTCTTGTGCCACCTCAGACCCAGGTCTGGAACTGCCCAACCCCTGAGAAGTTTGCTTGCTCAGGAACTCTGTGCAACCAGCCCCTGCCCGTTAGGGAGTCCCTTCCTCCTCCACAGAACCAGCCAAGAGGATTCCGGGGTGGAACCCCCAAGTCAGAGCAGCCAAGCACCTCCCCTGCACAACCTCAATCCTTACTTATAGACAGAAACTCTTTCCCAGCTTCTCTCTACGGCTCCCTCACCCTATCTGGAACTCCAGCGGGCTCCTCTGATGTGTAAAAACTGGTTCTTCGGCTTGTTTACCTCACCTCCAGGCCTCCACACTTAACTTCTCCACTCATAAACACACCCCCAACAATTCCAGAAGATTCCCTTGCTAGTCAGCCAGGACACACCCTTCCCAAAGAGCCTGCCCTGAAGCAGCCCTGCTCCACACTCGTCTTGCTCTGACTCTCAGTGACTCTAACAGTCGTGGTTCACACCATCAAAACCTCTTTGCCATGACCTTTTTTGGCTCTTGGCTCACTGTTTAGCCCCATGAAAACACCTAGGGGAGCTGGAAGTGGACAGGCAGCCGGTGCTAACACAGGCCACTGTGTCTCTTAAGGAGGCTGAAAAGCAACAATACTACTTCCTCATGCAACAGCCTCTGACAGTCTCCCAGCGTCCCTTCTTATCCTGCTGCCCTTTTCCTCCCTGGTTCCCTCTGTGAAGCACAGTTCTGAAGGCTGTGGGAGGAGCTGTAAGGGTCGGGAGAAGCATGCGGGCAGAGGATGCTGCTCCACCAGCCTGGAGAGTGCAACAGCAAAGGGCAACGTCTCTGTTGGTTCGGTTCCAGTGCGTGAGAGAGCTCATTCACTCAGCACTGACAGGGCGTGCAGCTTCAAGGCCCAGCTATGCTCGGAAATAGCTCTGGATTTGAGCCAGGCAGTGAGGTCGATGAGCAAGCAATTTCTCTTCCACTTGTTTTTGAGATAGTGACTTTAAAAGCTGTCTCCCACGGCCTAGCCCTCTGTTGTGCACAGACAGGAGAAAAACATCACCCAAAAAGCCAGTCGGTGGTAATTAGACAGCCCATCAAAAGCCTGAAGCTGACTGCTCAGACGTGCTTGCTTCTGTGCTGCTCCTCTGGCCCTCTCCCCCGCAGTAAGGAAGGACTGTGGTATGTAAGTTAATGTAAGTCAGTATTTCAAAGGAGTGTTCCGCAAACTCAAGGTTGTGGATGAGCTTCCAAATGGTTAAACAGCTTCAGAACAGCTTTCTCCTGGGGTGGAAGCACAGACTGTTGGGAGAAACCAGTCCAATCCTGTTCTGGGTGCTGGTATCCTCTCTACAATCATGGAGCCAAATGATTCTCTCAACCTGTGCTTGTATACCTCCAGTGGTTAGAAACCTAACCATTTTATTTATTCATCCAACGAATACTTAGTGAATTACTACCATGTGCCAGTATTGTTCTAAGAATGAAGCATATAGATGTGAACAAAACAGAATCCCTGCCCTCATGGAGCTTACAGCCTCCTGAAACTCTTGGTCAAAGGATTTGCTAAAATCTAAATACACTAAACTATAACTATGCCTTCCTTCAATCCCATAACCCCAGCAGAAATGGAATGAAGTTATTTTGGCCTCACTTGTTCTTGCTAAGACAGTGCTGATGCCCAGAGATCACCACTTTTTCTATGGATTTATAAGCCAGGACTTCACTGACTGATTCCCCTGCTTCCCTAACCACGGTCTGCTTCTCTTCGTCCCTGTTGATTGACCACTCTCTGTCCTCCGGCTCTGCCCCACCCCCATCCTATTTTCATTTTCTCCCTTCTGCCTGGACTCAGTCTCAATCAGAAAGACAACCACTTGATCAAGAACTGATTTACAGTCATGTGTCGCTTAACAACCAGGATACACTCTGAGAAATGCGTTGTTAGCTGATTTCATCATTGTACAAACTTCATGGAGTGTACTTAAGGGGAACAAAATATGCCACCCCAAAATGTATCTCTTTAACATAAAGATTATCTTAGGCTGATTAAAGACACAAAAGACTCAGAAAGTTTTCTTTTACCTGCCCCTTAAGTGCCTAAAAGAACTCAGATAAAAAAAACCTGTCTCAGGAAGCAAGCTATCACCTTAGGATAAGATGAACTATGTGGGAGGGAGAAACTAGAAAACCCTGTTCGTTGGCTCCCCTCTGTGTTCTTCTGTTTCTGTGTGTCCAAACAAACACTTGTTTTCCAAACTTTTGCTCCTTGTCACCTACCTGTGAATTACCTGCCTTCCCTTTGAAGTCCCTAACTCTCCCCACCCCCAATATTTTCTTTTGTCTTCAGCTGAGGATGGTATTTAAGGTGGTGGCTTTGGCCATTTTGGAGAGTAACCTGGTCTTCCTGGGTTTCTCCCACGTATACATGTTACTAAACTTTTGCTTGTTTTTTCTCCTGTTAATCTGTCTCATGTCAATTTAATTTTTAGACCAGCCAGAAGAACTTAGAAGAGTAGAAGAAAATTTCTTCCTCCCCTACAGTATTTACACAAACCTACTATACACCTAGGCTCTATGGTACTATCTTATGGCACCACTGTCATGTACTCGGGCTGTTGTCGTCTGAAATGTCATTATGCATTGCATGACTGTGTTATCAAAATAATTCCACCTAAAATGTGTTGTTCCTAATTCTATCCAAACAAAGATGCGGGGGCTGGAGAGAGGATCAGAGTTGTTGAGATGAAGCTCCAGAATTTCAGATTCAGCTTACTTTTAGACCATGGTGGGAAAAGACGGAGTTAGAGGGTGGAGCGTGATCAGGACAAGAGAAGTAGAAAGGGAGACACCTAGCTCTCTTTTACTTGGTCTCTGTTACCACATCTTTGGCTGTAACCGACCTCAGAAGTCTGCTTGCCAAAAAGATTTACTTTTAAAATCTTTAAATGATGTATTTGTGCCTAAAGAACTGAGTAAAAAAAAAAAAAAAAAAGGAAAAAAATGCAACAAAGCATTCTTTCAAAATTATTCACTGTACATAAAACGCCTCTAGGGTCCTACTTTAGTTTGGGGATGAAGGGGGGTGGACAGGAAGACTTAAGAGTTAATTAGATCAAAAAGGATTATCAAAAGCGCTTAGAGCCTGAGCAATTCTATAAGGTCTGTTGCATTCACAGAAAACACAACCACCTTGGCAAAACAGACTGAATTAATTATCCAGTTTCAAAAACACACCACAAGTTTGTAGTGAAATGATTGTTTTGATGCAAGTTCTACTAAGAACAAACTAGATTTTGATTATTGAATTTATTTCCTCCAAAACCTATTTTTCATGGTAGATGTTCACTTTATTTTTTGTTTACATGAGGACATTTTCAATGAAGTCCAAATGTGGATAGAAGTCACGCAGACTGGCAAGTCCAGGCCAGCTTCTTGCAGTGTGAGAATCACACTTGTCACAAGGATGCTTCAGGGACTCTGTCTGTACCAGCAAGTCATGTTCTTTTCCTTCTTCTTTATTAACATCTCTGTTCTACCTGAAGTGAAACCAGGCCACCCAGCGTGTACACTTTGCCCTAAATTAGTGAATCCTGAAGTAGCTCTGAAAGACGAGACTTAGCAAAAAAAAAACCCTAATGAGCAGATTTTTCATTACATAAAAACACCCCTTCACCTACTAAGGCCAAAGCGAAGAGCTGAGGCAACTAGCCGGGCAAATCAGGCAGCTTCTGACCGGAATTACAGATGCACCTTGTGCTGCAGAAGAGAGGCCGACAGGGAGCCAAAAGGCCTGGGCTTGGTTACAATTTCTGTCCCAAAGTAATAACGTGGCTTTCAGGAACTCAGTGAACTTACTGAACATTCAGTTTTCTTATCTACAAAATGGCATAACAACATCTGCCTCACATATTTCAAAAAACTGTTATAAAAATAAAATGGTTATTCACAAAGGGATTTTCCAAAGTAAAAATTGCAAAAGAAATACCGATATTCTGGTTTGAAATTTCACAGCCGTATGTGCCCTACTAGCTAAATATATTATAACGACCTATTATTGATTAAGAGTATGAAACAAGTTGATGAAAATGAAATTTGCGGCTGGTTCCTTCGGGTTGAGAATGGCACAGTCTATCAGTCCCTAAGTGGCCCGTTGGGATTGTGTCACTAACCAGGTAACTCACCTGTACTGCAATGCTCGACCAAGATCTAGGCAGCATGGCACTGTCACACACCATGGAGGGCTCTTCTGGGGATTTTCTAAAGCAGGGGTCAGCAAACTATGGCCTGTAGCACAAATCTGGCCCTCCACTTGTTTTTACAAATAAAGTTTTATTGGAACACAACCATACCCATTCCTTTATGTATCGCACATGGCTGCCTTCCTGCTATTACAGGAGACTTGAGGAGTTACGACAGACACCATCTAGTCCTCAAAGGATAAAATATTTACTATCTGGCCCTTTACAGAAAAAATTCTGCCAATCTCTGATGTAAATAATTAAATAGGATCCCCAAATCACACTTTTACTATAAGCAGGTTGGCCACAATGAATTCTCTTCTAGGTTTTTAACATCATGATGTAGTGTTGTATTTCAGTATATATTACAACAGAAAGAATTTTACCTTGCCTTTTTCAGTATGTGATTTTGGGTAGATATGCGTGATGCTAAGCATCCCCATGTGACAACAATGCAGAAGTCTACTTCACAAGGCTGAGTAAGGTTGTCACATCAGGACAAGCACGTATTGTGATGCTCATCCTAACCACACCCTTCTTCCACAAAATGTTCTATTAACTGTGAAAATAAAAAGCATTCACTTTCATCAATACTTCTTTAAGATATTAAAAAATATGTATTAGGAGAGCCAATTTTTTTAGTCAAACCCTCTCAGCGCACAGATAAGGAAACTGAGACCAAGTTAAACGATTTGGCTAAAAACTGAGAGCTAGACAGTCGCTATTTAAGTTTTTCCCTCAAACACATGCTAATTTTATTATTCAGTCATAAAGGCCAGATATTTTTGTTAAACAAATATCTCTACAAAATAAAATATCTGGTTAACGTCACACAGCACTAGACCAACAATACTATGAAGATAGTAGTAGTACTTTGTGTGTTAAATTAAGCAAGCAAAAACCTCACAACCATTTTGCCTCTAAAGGTAAACTGCAAATTTCAGGGGTTGAGCCAATTCTCTTTCACTGACGTCAGATCTCTAAATCTAATTTAATACCAGAACACATGTAAAGAAGCTATAACCTAAAGAGGAACATGCACTGCTGAACTGAGAGGAAGAAATAAAAACAATACAGCATTCACCTCCATCTGCAAAGCTTCAGCCAGTCCCCTGATGGCGAACTTGGACGAAGAGTAGGCCGTGAAACCGAACAACCCCAGCTGGCCCGCCTGGGAGGACACAAAGACAATCCTGCCCACACGGCGCTCCTTCATGGTGGTGATCACCGCTCGGCTGGGGTACACGCTGCCCAGGTAGTTGACGCTCATGAGTCTCTGCAGGGAACAAAGAGGCCGCGAGGGGTGAGCAAGGTCAAAGCCCCAAAGCTATGCTCCACGGGAATCCTGTCTGCTCCCCAGACCTGAGTTCTTCAATGGAGCCCTGACTAGGAGTCACTGGATCTGTTGAATGAATGAATGATTCAATGATCTTGAAAATGAGCCACGATGCTCAGGATCTACCCTTTGAAGCCCGTTTCAATCTAGTCTCGCATTCCCACAATGACAGCAGTTGTGTCTTTGCTGAAAACTTGTCAAAGTTAGTTTTTTCCTTATAAAAAGTACACTTCATATTGTGGGTAATACTTTCTGAGAGGCAGCGTTAGGAAAGAGTTTCCAAATATTTCCAGTCCTTTTGGTCTCAGCTACAGACAGATTTACACGGAGACTAGGGCAGTGGTTAACAGCACGGATGGTGGTTTGAAGCCTTGGCTCTACCATTTACTACCTATTTGATGATGAACAAGAAAGTCAGACGCTCTGCCCATTCCCTCAGAGAAAACAGGGCTAATATTGTACTGTCTCATCGGGCTGCTGCAGGCACTGGGGAGGGCACACAGATAAGTGCCAGGGCAGCCCCAACCCACAGTAAGGACTCAATAAATGTTATGACTTATTACATTATGACGGGTAAGAGCTTACGAAGGTACCAGTATATTTTCCCCTCATCCTGGGAACTCAAAAACCTTACATTTTAACTTGAAAATCTAAGAAAACTTGCATTAAAATATTTCTATATTAAAAGTCTTATAAAAATATTAGCTCTATTACCATGTAAAACCAAACACTTCACTGGGGAACTCTGAGTCAGTCATGAAATGGTAACTCAATAGAATGTTACATAACTTTTAGAAATGAAGACCAGAAACATCAGAAGCTACAGGGGGAAATAGTTATGGTACAAATTTAAAAAAAGCAGAGAGCAAACTATATTCGCACTGTGACTGTAACTATTTCAAACGTTAAATAAAAGTACACGTGCACAAAAACAAAGGAAATAGAGAAAATTGTGACTGTGTTATGATTCCATTTTTCCCCAAAATGCCTTTTAACATCATTATATTATTTTGATGATAAAAATGCTCTAAAAAAAGTATTTGAAAAAAGATATCATACTGAACCCATATGTTTACCTCAGCTTCCTTCAGAGACCCCACTGAATCTCAGCAAAGAGATTTCCTCTGGCAACAATCCACAAGGACAAAGAAAATAGGAAAGAAAATAACAGCAAAAACATTTTGGAAGTTGAAGAACAGAATGATGAGTGATAACTAACATAGCTGAAAGCTGAATGCTAAGCAAGGAGCAGAGAGGCTAAAAAGCAGAATTGCACCACAGAACCCCCCAAAAACTCAAGCAGCACCAAGCACTGCCGGGGGCAGGAGGGTGGGAATAGGGCTGAAAGAGAGGAGTATTGACCAAGAGTCTATTTAAAAACAGTCAGACAAATCCACAACTATAATCAGAGATTACAGTCCCCTTCTTTCAATAGTTGATAGAACAAGTGGACACAAAATCAGTAAGGATAAAGAAGACTTGAACAATGTTATCAGCCAACGGACCTAATCAACACTGAAAAAACACTCCACTCCAAAGAGAAGAATGCACCTTCTTCTCAAGTGCACATAGAACAGCGACAAGACAGACCATAAACTGGGCCACAAAACAAGTCTCAATAAATTTAAAAGGATTCGAGTCACATAAAGTATGTTGGCTGACAACAATGGAATTAAATTGGAAATCAATGAGAGAAAGATTTCTGGAAAATCCCCCAAATATTTGGAAACTAAATAATACACTATCTATTCTAAATAACCCAAGGGTCAAAGCAGACATGAAAAGGGAAATGATAAGATATTTTTAACTGAATGAATGTAAAAACACAACATATCAAAATTAGTGGAATGCTGTTAAAGCAGTACTAAGGTGGAAATCTGTAGCACTAACATCTGTATTAGAAAAGGAAAAAGGCCTCAAATTGATGACCTTAGCTTTGACCCAAACAAACTATAAAAAGAAGAGCAAAATACCAGAAAAGTAAGCAGAAGAAAGGAAACAATAAAAATAAGAGAAGAAATAAATGAAATAGAAAACAGAAAAACAATAGAAAAATCATAAAACCAAAAGCTGGTTATTGAGAAGATCAATAAAACTGATAAGCTTCTAGTTATACTGATCAGGAAAGAAAGAGGATGCAAATTATCAATATCAAGAACAAGCGAGGTGACATCACTACAGACTCTATGAATATTAAAATGAGAAAAAGGGAATATGATGAATAACTTTGTGCCAATAAATTCAATGACTGAGATAAAATAGAGAAATTCCTTGAAAGACACAAGCTACCAAAGGTCACTCAAATAGAAACAGATGAGAGGATATGGATGTAGCCCTACATCTATTACAGAAATTAAATTAAGGTTAGGAACTGTCCCATAAAGAAAATCTCAGGCTTCACTAGTGAATTCTACAAAAGATGGAAGAATAATACTAACTCTACACAAATTCTTCCCGAAAACTGAAGAGGGAATACTCCCCTACTCATGCTATGAAGCCAGCATTACCCTTAGATGAAAACCAGAAAATAACATTAAAAGAAAAGAAAATGACAACTAATATGCCTCAAGAACACAGAGAGGATAACAGATCATAACCAAGTAGAGTTAATCCCAGGAATGCAAGGTTGGTTTAACGTTTGGAAATCAATCAATATAATTCACATATTAACGACATAAAAAAGAACTCTATGATCATCCCAGTAGACGCAGAAAAAGCATCTGACAAAATTCACATTCATTCCTTATAAAAACTCTCGACAAACTGGGAATAGCAGGGAACTTTCTCAACTTGATAAAGGGCATCTACCAAAAAGACAAAAAAGCAAAACTACAGCTAACATCACACTTTATGGTAAAAGACTGAATGCTTTCTCCTAAAGATCAGGAACAAGACAAGAATGTCTGCTCTCACTCGTTCTATTCAACACTGTCCTGGAAGTTCCAGTCAGCAAAATAAGGGAATCCAGATGGGAATGAAAGAAGTAAAACTGTTGCAGATGACATGATCTTGGCTGTAGAAAATCCACTGAGCACTAGAATTAATAATTGAGTTTAGCCACATTGCAAGATCAATACACAAAAATCAATTGTATTTCTCTGTATTATCAGTGAACACTCAGAAGTTGAAATGAAAAAATACCATTACACTAGCATCAAAAACATGAAATACTGGAGTGAGGTCAGCATCATGGCAGAGTGAACTTGCCTGGGACTCTCTCCCCTCCAACAACCAACCAAAAGGGACATCTATACTCCAACAGAGGACATCCTAACACAACACAAAAATGTTGGAGAGACACATAGCCACATGACGGAGGGCAGGGAGGCTGGAGCCCCTCCCCCAACCCAGGAGCTGGAACATGGTAAGAGAGAACTTCACACTCTCCCAGAAAGACTGTGATGTGCAACTGCAGAAGGATCCATGAGGGAAGGAATGGGGGAGGAGACGTGTGTTCATGAAAACATTAAGGACCACCAAGGACCCTTGCAGCCTAGAGGTAAGCCCTCTAATGGAGGGAAAGCTTTCCTGGGGGTGACCTCATCAAGCCAACACCCCAGGAGACCAGAGAGTGACAGCGAGAAAGCCCGGAGAGCACGCAGGAGAAAGCGCCCCTCCCCTCACCCGCCTCATGCTGCTCCAGCACCTGGGATCTGGGCTGAAGGCGGAGGGCTCAGACTATGCGGCTCTCGAACACCACCCAGTGGTTACAGGTGGTAACTGCAACCAAATAATAGAATGCAAAAAACCTGACCCACCTCCTCTAACAACGTGAGACACTAGATCAAATCTCCAGACCAGAGAGAAAACAACAAGTGCCCAGAATTCAGTCTAACCACAAACTCACAACACAAGATGGAATAAGATATGAGAAAAACAACTTAGGAGGGGAGGAGAAAAGGGACTGAATTGGTTTAGACTAAGGAAATAAGACGCCGTCAGAAAATGAACTATCTTATACACAAGATTCTGAATACAAACCTCATGATAACCACTACACAAAAAAGCAGAACAGAGACACAAAGAATAAGTAAGGAGAAAACAGAGAAACATATCATAAAAACTACATAATTCAAGGGGTAGACCAAAACACACAAGACGAGAAACAAAGGAAATGCAGGAAAACCAGAAAATGAGTGATATAATGACAGCATTAAGCTCTCACACATCAATAATCACCATAAATGTAAATGGATTGAATTCTCCAATAAAAAGACACAGAATGGCGAGATGGATTACAGAATAAGACCCAATAATATGCTGCCTCCAGGAAACACATCTCAGCTCCAATGTCAAACACAGGCTCAGAGTGAAGGGGTGGAAGACAATACTCCAAGCTAATGGCAAACAAAAGAAAGCAGGTGTTGCAATACTTATATCAGACAAACTAGATTTCAAGATAAGACAGGTAAAAAGAGACAAAGAGGGTCAGTGTATAATGCTCAAAGGGACATTGCATCAAGAAGAAATAACACTTATAAACATCTATGCACCCAACACAGGAGCACCAAAGTTCATAAAGCAACTATTAACAAACCTAAAGGAAGATATCAATAATAACACAATAATAGTAGGGGAACTCAACACTCCACTCACATCAATGGAGAGATCATCCAGACAGAAAATCAACAAGGAAATCTTGGAATTAAATGAAAAGCTAGACCAGTTGGACTCAATAGACATATATAGAACACTCCATCCAAAAACAGCAGAATACACATTCTTCTCAAGTGCACATGGAACATTCTCAAGGATAGACCATATGTTGGGAAACAAGGCAAGCCTCTATAAATTGAAGAAAATAGAAATAATAACAATCATCTTTTCCAATCATAATGCTATAAAGCTAGAAATTAATTACAAGTAAAAAGCTCAGAAAGGGACAAAGATGTGGAAACTAAACAACATGCTATTGAACAAGCAATGGATCATTAAAGAAA